TAAGTATAACATACTAAATATATATTCTAAAATGTAAATTCTAAACAGTGGATGATATTCTAATGTGCTGGAAGCAGACCTGAGGCACAGAGCGTGAAGTGATTCATCCAGGGTTCTCAAAAAGAAGTCTTATTTTGTAAATGAATCTACTTACAAAATGTTTAATAGACACTACTTCTCCCTTACTACAGCTTTTGATTCGAACATACACTGGTACACAGGAACAAGACACAAGTTGCCTGTCAGATGACACTCGACTTATTTTGAGACATATTCACAGTTTGTGACGTATGACATGCTTCATGCCCGATCTTCACTGACTTCAGAGCAATATACACAGTACATTAAGGGGCAGATTTGTTAATACAGAATTAAATTGATAAGCATGAGCATTTTACCCTGGTATTCTTATACAACATAAGCAGGGGTGAATTCCCACTGTAATAACTTTTTAAACCCTTGGCTGACAACAACCAACTTTATTTTGGGCCTGGAGTACTCCAGAATTCCTCATGGAAACAGACACCTCAATACCACCTGCAGTAAGGAAAATGCCCATTTTAGACACCAAGGAGTTAGAATACATGAGGTAAATTTCAACACACAAATCCACAGAACAATAGGCATTCTTAGCTCTACATTCTTCAAGTTATATGGTGGACTTAAAAAAAGACCCCTATGATATAAATGTAAAATAATCTATTCTGTGTTACAAAACAATGTAACTGCAAAAATTTCTGTGTAACGCTAAATTATTCCTAAGTCTTTACACTAGCTGCAGAACTGGTAATGCACGACTGCACCAATTGTAGCCCTTTTTCATTCCAAAGAATGTACATATTGCTCCCAGTGCACTTACAATCTAAGACAACTGTTCATTTCTACTCCTTATTGAAGTCTGTGAGTAATGCCTTTCTGTGATAATTAATTAATAACCAGTGGTATAATTAACTAATACAACCATTTACTTTCTCTAAACTTCCCTTGCATGCCCCTAAGTAGTACTGGTACCTGAAAATGATGGTTCTTTTGTGTCGAAAATGATAATGCTGCCATTGTTAGTTGCGTTCACAGAGGAGGTAAACAGACTATCACTGTAACCTTTCACAGCACTGAGTCCTCAGATTTTGAGCCCAGCTGAACATCTGTTAATTCTGATTATCCATAATTCTGATTATGCGTAAGAGAACTCCAGACTAATGCTGACTCATGCGACACGTCAGACTCTACAAGGCAGGTGGATTAACACATTAGCAGGTGTAGTCTGACTGAATTTCTGATCTCAGATTCTGTCAATGTGCGCTTGCATTGTGCTTGCAACTTATGTCCCTCATCAGTGATTATATAGTTGGGTCATTTGCTTCATAAATTCCGAAATAGATGAATTTAAGTATGAAGAGAATGCTTCATAAAAAAAACCCCAAAAAACCAAAAAACAAAACACCAAAAAACCAGCAACTGCTGTACAACCGGCAATGTGTGGTTATTCTGGATTTTCCTGCAGCATACCCCAGCAGTAGGTCATCTAAAGCCCAGCTGGGGACAAGAGGATGCTTTTTCCCTCCCGGTCCATGTTGCATAGGCTGTTAGTAGCCCTGAAAGCTGTATCACATTCGCTGAAGGTTTTTTGTGTAGTCATTCATTCAATTGAGACATTACTAAACTCTGTACTTCATACAGTTTGCAAAAACTAATTCAGAGGCCAAAAAGACCATGACATAAAAACCTGAGTGAAAAGATTTAGGAAGAGATATAAACACCTCCAGAATGAAAATAAGCCATTTAAGCTATCCTATCCATGTAGATTTTGCTAGAAACTCACAATCTCAGTGTCAATTATCTGCAAATGTATCCTTATATTGGGAATTGTTAGTTTTCCCTCCTTTTGGAAGTTATTACTGCCCTAATACAGAAGAGCTTCCAGTTCTTCATCCCTTATGTATACAAACTAATCACTGAGATTTGTTAGAAGTAAATAACAATAAATAAATAACATTAATCTGAAAAGAACATAGAACATGTTTCTCCACAAGCAGCAAAATATATCACGTCTGGTCTTGCATAGACTGGGTCACATCCATACAACCCTCTACAGGCCACAGCAATAGTAATCAGTTACATGTCCCTCTGTGGTTTTTTTTCTCCTCCTTCCCAGAAAATGCTGCAGCTTGAATGAGCCATTCAGCCTCACAAGCCTCACAGGAAGTACCAAGCTCACACCAAGCTCACCCTGAAGCTTCTTCATCAAAGGATAGCTTCCTCTGAGTTCTGTTACTCGGTAACTGCCATTTTCCCTGAAGAACTTAAATTGTCTCTGAGCTTGCTACCTCCAGTCCAACTTTTCTGAAACTGAACAGTGGGCTGGAAGTGGGTCTGACACACTAGTGGATGAGGTACACAATGGTTTAAATCTCATTTCCTTAGGAAAGCAGGCTTGAAATTCTGCAACATGGAAGGAACTGTCTGTAGAAAGCTCTAACAGGGACACAAAATAACACAACTAGCTTAAGAAAATTGTTTATTGTTCAGGTATAGAAATTGTTGCTCCAGCTGTCCTAAAATGACATTTTCAAAACTGAGTTAATATATTAGCATACATTCTACCTTGAGAAACAATGAGTTTTAGTGCAATTAGACTAAATAGAATAAATAATTAGGATCTCAAGAGTAAAAATTCATAGCAGAAACACATGTGTTTTATATGTCCTCTCTTACCACAGTACCCAAACTCCTCCAAATAGTTAAATATCTCGTTTTCTCCTCAGATTTTAGGAGACACAGCTTCATGTTAGAGAATGTGTGTGTCCACATGAGTGTGTGTGTGTTTGTATACTTGTGTATATATATAACAATATTGGGAAGAGGCAGGTCAAAACAGTTTATTTGTGAACAATCATAAGCCTTGTTCCTTATGCTGTGAGAGCAAGTGACAAAGTTTAAGTCCTGTGTCTAAAAAAGTTCTGTTGTGCCTCCCCTGGAACACTCCATTTGCCAAAGATTTTACAGCTGTAGTAGAATTTAGAGTGGTGTCATGACACTCAGGTGCTTAAAAATGCTGTTTCATGGAAGGCTTGCATTATCAGGACAGACTTTGAAATCAAAGTCTGCATTCAGTGCATAGCCAGCTGAACTCTGGGGCAAAGTTATCACCATGACCTGTTGCTAAATATGTACGGCTGCTGTGTTTTTACAACTGCTGAAATTTTTATAACGTGAAGCTTTGTTCCTAAGTATGAGTTGCAGCAATGAAATATGAAGATCAGTGATGCAAATACTGTTGTGGTCAGGAGTGAGGCTGATAGAAAAGGACACATTGTACAGCTAGTTATGGATAGAACATTTTTGTTATCAGCAAACTGAACAGTCAAAGGGAATCCCAGTGCTCTGCTGTCTGACTCAGGTGTTTGGTTGTGAAGCACTCCTCTTTTCCTAAAGGCAAAATTCCAGTCCCACTTCACCTTACTGTCATCCAGATGCTAAATCAGTGTCAGACAAGTGCTAGTTTCAGCAGGCTGTTTAGGATTCACCGTAACCTAGATGCTAGTTCAGCTTCATCTGAAAGCTAATCTTGACAGGGCATTGAGAATTTCTGAAGAAGCTGGGAGTCTCCAACTTAATACGTATGTTCAGATGGGAGAGTGACATTGTAATTTGACTCTTTTGGAGTCATGCAACTTATAAGATTGAGAAATTGTTACAATTACCTTAATTAATAGGCCTTCAGATATTTCAGAACATTGCTTAAGCTCTAAGGATGACAATATTTGGTAACCAACAGCACATAAGACAGCAGAGAATGGCAGCAAAATTATTAAAGACATACTTTCTTTATCTTTTGACAGAACGAATAGACAATACGGCATAAATGGTGTGTGCATCTGTACTGTGCACAGGCTTACGAATGATCTGGAAAGTCTTAATTTACGGGTGGCATTAGAGAGAATTAATTTTCCTAATTCCTCATGAAAATGGTTAGGCAGTAGTTTGTGCAATCCCTTTTATAGAGTGAGCAGGTCTTTGGCACTGCTGGGATTAGTGCATACATCAGGATATGTAACATTCATGTATTTCAAGGAATGACACTGTTTAGGGTTAGCTACAGCTAAGGCAAAAGTAATCTCAGGTAGTCTCGCACGTTTAAGAGAAATTTTTATGCCGATATCCAGCTATACTGTGTATGCATTTATTTGTGTGTATCAAATGGACAATTAACAGTGCAATTGCTTTTCAGTGCAACTGAAAAGGTGTTCATGAGCACAAGCAGATACACTTTTAGTTTTTAAAGCTCATACGCCCCCTAGACCTGGTTTGCAGTTCCGTGGTGAATTCTCCTGGTGTTTACTGCTGTAAAGGCAGACCGTGGTTCTTTGCCCTACAAGAAAATCCTACAACCAGTATACAACTCTGGATATTTTCAAAACAAACAGGAAAAAACCCCTAGTTTTATGAAAGCTGGTTTCTATAGGCCTTGGCCATGCTAAACTGCCACTCACAGTTCTGCTTGATGTACTACAGACAGGATGCTGAACATTGCCACTCAGTTTTAAATAGATGTCTGCAGAGAAGCCCAGTTTAAAGCTCTTCAACTCTATCTCTTAAATAAAGATGAAAAGCTCTTCACATGTATTATTAGTTTATCATTGTATGGTTTTATCCATCAATATGATGAATAAATCTTTTATTCTCTATAAAATTCCCTACTTTAATAATGCATCTAAATATATCTAATTCTAAAACCTGAAGCCTTTGTAACATTTCTTCAGTATTGGAAGCCATTGTGTCATTCCCATCTCAGTGCAAAGCCAGCTGACTGGAATCCCCAAAAGTGCATCTCAAGTTCTTTCTCAATGTATTAAACTTCAGCTGTCCCTAAAATTAATCTTTGATTAAAAGTCATAGGCAAAATGCATTTGATTTTGTCCCTCCAGGGACTAATGAATCGGTTTAGACATTTTGGGAAGAAGAGTTCTCAGCTGTGCTGTTGTATATTCTGCTAGGTGTCATGAGCAGGCTACTGACTGCCTGTGGTTCCATCTAGAATGATCTGAAAAAGAATATTAAACAATATTGCTTATTTGAGCATACTCATGTTGAAACAATCTGGCATTTCATAATACTGAAGCAGTAGGTTAAAGTTTGGATAGGATCAGTTCCTGGTTTAGGTAAACATGTAACTAGATAACGCAGGATTATTCCCAAATATTTGAGCATGTGAATAGTGAATGAAGCCTGTGACCCCCCATGTCAATAAAGACAGGCACATAAAGACTAAGGATTCAGATGTCTAGATCAGACAATGTGCCTGGGATTCAAACAGTCTCACTTTATAAGGGGAACACTGTCTGAACACTTGGTAAGAGATGCTCAGTAAACTGTGAGAAATCCTACGTATCTTCAAACAACTCATTGGTCATGATAAAGTACGGAGGGGTGGCTTTGTGTGTAATCGTTATGATTTGAGTCATCTGCAGAAAGTAGACACAGCTGACTAATGCCAGACACAAAATATCACTAACACAGTATCTGTTTAAAAATTGCTGCTACCATCTGGCCACCACTAAATACTTACTAAAGGTTTTGAAGCTCTAACAGGTGAAATAAAAGGCCTTGCATTTGTCAGAATACTACATTTTATTTCCCCCACCTCTTTTCTTATACATCAGCATTTAAAGTCAGTCACAGAGTTGTCTTTTCTTCTCTGCTTTAGAAGTTACTGGCATCTCTTGGAAAGAATACAGAAACTTGGACTCCAACAAAGACTTAAATTCTTAAGTTTTCCTCAGTTTTAATCCCTATCAGGTAGGTGTTAGAATTAATCAGTGGAATCCTTAATGGTTGAGAAGAATTTAATTAACAAGAAACCTCAAACAAAAATAGTGGCTTTTCAGGTGTTCCTGTGGTGTTGCTGAACAGTAGTTTCTTTAAGAACTTTAAAAGTTTTTTACTTAAAAAAAGCTTTTGTAACATTTTAAATCTTGACATACACCAACAGATGAGAGTCCTAATGAGACCCACAGGGGAGGTACGTGCATGGTGGACTAGAAGAGGTTTCTAAAATGAAACAAAAGTTGCACTTCTGTGATACACTGTGTGGTTCTCAATACCAGTAGTCTCCAAAATCCACGCAATTCTTGGTGGCCTCATATGGGACACACTGTATCTTGGCACAGTTTGGTCTTCTCTCTAGGTCTATGGCTACATATGGAGATACCTCTTGAGGCTTACCTAATTCTAGACTGCAGTATCTTTGAATTCACCCTAATAGCTTCTAAAAGAAAATTCCATGCCAGGAAGGAAAGGGCATCTCAATCAAAAGAGAAGATCCCTCAAACAGGATGAAGTTAGGAGAGGATTTAAGAGAGTCACTGATAAGGTGCAGTATAAGGAATAATGCAGAAAACTTTCCTTTGCCTTGTGACACTGTCATCCTTGTCCCTCACATCTACTTTTCCAGCTTCTGTTTCCCCTCAGGGGTACAAATAACTTCCTGCAAAATCAGAAAAGGGAACCATACTACTTACAGCCCCATGCTATTCTACTACTGTGACTGGCATTTCACACTCCCCTGTGAAAGAAATGCCTTGTGTCTCTCAAGGAGTAACAGTTTTTTCTAAATACTAGCAGGGTTACAGACAGCACTTCAAGGACTTTCTACTATTTCTGATGACCATGGTGGACTTACTTCTAAATGTAAAAAACATACATTCCTTTGGAGCAAGGACAGAATCTCCTTATGGCTATGAAGAAAACATGGAAGATCTCTTAGAAGTGTCAGAAGCAAGGAGTAACATTTCAAGAGACATCTTAGTCACTTAAGGGTCTACGTAGTGACTTCTGATCAGCTGCTACCAATGGCAAGCTTAGGTGTTAGGGCTCAAGATCCATGTTCTGTCAGGATGATTTTTTGAGGCTTACAGAGGTACTTAATTTGTGCTTCCAGTGGAAAGAGATGGGCACCCTACACAGTGTCTGTGTTAGAGAGCTGCATATCCAATAACTATCTGGAACTTACACATATTAGCAGTGCAACTCAGTACTCCTACGTGCTGAATTTGTAACTGTCTGTAGTCAAGGTGCTTAAAAAACAGGAGTCAGAACTTGTGTCTGCACAGATACGTGACACAGGTCTGCCAACGTATAGGAAAGCCCCAAATCAATGGTTCAGATCTATTAGCAAAGCAAGAGGAGATAGTGGCAGTACTTTGGCATGTTAGTCATTGGAGAACATGCCCAGACATAGACCCATAGGGTGCTACATCCTCTTCATCCACAGCGGTCGGGTATAGCTCATTGCCTACCAGAAGACCATGCTTCTTTACTAGGCTATTCTATAAGCCTGGCTAAGGGTAATTCTCTGTTCTGTTTCTACAAGCAGATCTACCACACAGCAAAGAATGTAAAGTTTGCAAGTCCAAGGAGAAAAAAATGAAACGGGAGAGCCATGCAGCTGAGGTCAGTGGCCTTTCCCTCAGGAGGGCGCACTCTCGGTCCCATCATTCACATGCTGTCATATCAGCATTTTTCACTGGGTTTTTTTGTTAAATTATTTAGTAAGAGAAATTTCCATATATGTAATGAAGAATTCTGCTGATCTGTCTTCAGCTACTTACTACAAAGACAACTGGAGGCAAATACAGTTACAATACTTAGCAGAGAAATGAATTAGCAATGAAAAAATGAAGAAGAGATTTGTTTGACTTTGGTCAGCCTAGAAGTTTGCTGTCAAATGTAGATTAATCTCCTTAGTTCACTTTGTAGTCAGTGGGAAAAGATAAATATGTCCTCCTACTAAGAAGGAGAAAAATAACTGTTAACAGCTGAACCCAGCACAACTTCACAGAGAGTTATGGATCCCATCCACTCTCAAAATGTTTGAAGATGAATTGTTCTATTTCTTTCCAGTCAGATTTACAGAGCCATTTGTGGGTGAAAATAGTTGTAACTGGTGAAATATGATTCGATAAAAATATCATGTACAGCAACTTATTCTCTATGGACTTTGAGAAATTAATAATCTACTTCAAAGTAAAGCAATTCAATTAAAAATTTAAGGGAATAAATGTCTATACTGAGTTTATAAAATGGCAGAAGTATCTCTACTACCTTGCACACTGTTCTTATACAGGATTAACATCCTGTGGATGCTTTGGTGAAGAATTCTGTGTAAAAAATCTTACAGAAATGTCTTGCAAACATACAGAATCACTTTAATGTTTGTAATGCTTCACTTATTTTGCATACTGTATTTGCTTTTTTCTTCAGCCTTTAGCACTAAAGATAATTCTTACCCAATTTTTCATGTCTTTTACACTGTTATGAAATGCACAGCATAACCTAGGGACTGTGTTAGTTCAGTTTAACAAGAAGGAAATTGCTCATATTAAGAAAAGAAACGGCCGGTTTTTTTAGTTTTTGAGGTTTTTTTGAGACAAAACAGGATGGAATGAAATAAAATGCAGACATACTGTCTTGTATTTCTTGTAATGAAACAAGTGTAAGTCACTGAGAAGTTACACTTCTTAGCATTTATGTAGTGTTAACGAGAGGTAATCTCTGAAACTGAGTTACATCAGTAAAAAGAAGATGACTTATTCACACACATCCTTCAATGAAAATGGGAGCATGAAAGTGAAGCAGTATCTGACCTCTTGCATCCAAGTGGATATTTCTGTGCTGGTATTTAAAGTTGACCTCACCCTGTTCGAAACCTATGGGGTTTATTTTCCTTCCTGTTTTGGAAATGGGAGTTCCAGGGACAAGCATGTGTAAGATGTTAATGTCTGGGTAAGGTGAGACTTGGATACGAGTAACTGAAATGTATGCAAAATTACAACCTTCTGGCTCTGAGAATAATCAACAACATTAAGATAAGCAGTAAATGTTAGAAGTCATCGAAAACACACTTGAAAGAGATTGTTAGAACTGCTGTCAGTAATGGGCATAAATGAAGGACAGATGCTTAAACTAAAAGGTCAAGAACAAACAGCACCTGACACTCCTATCTCAGAATCTGTTTGTTCACTGCCATCTGAATATTTGTATCAGAGTCTCTGCAAATCAAAATAAATATTTAACTTGTAAATATGTGCTCCTACACTGCTTTGACATCACCTTTTCCCCTTTCCCCCTTTTTTTTCCCCCCTCCCTAAAAGAACAAAAGGTTTTTATCATCACTAATTCTGGAAAGGTATCAAGCTCTATTCAGTTTTCAAGTTACCAGAAACTCTTTGTAAAAGTCAACAGACACTATTTAGGAATTACAGAGGTAATGTTTGATTTTCTGCGAGCAATCCAGTGACTTCTCAGTACTAACAATTCTCCCATTTCCTAAACAGGAAAAAAGTATTTGTGAGAAAATATTGTATAAGACCATTGTGCTTTGTTAAGAACAGTGGATGCTACTGAAATTTAGTTAAACAACAACTAATAATGAGAACAAGCACTGTAAACTGCAATCTATTTGCCTATAGAGGAAAAAAAATTACTTGTTTTAAGGAAACAGTCACTTGTGGCTGTTACTTGTACATGACTTGATTCTCGTTGAATAGTTGTTAAAAGGAAGGGTTTATGATACAAGGACAGTATGTTTCTCAGTTGCAGAGGGAAACTAATGCTATGAGCAACAACTCAACATGCCTTCTGTAGTCCTTCTATTACAAAACCAAGCATAACTGGCAGCTCCTGCATTCACTGTGGCAGTCTGGCACAAGCAAGTGAATCTGCTCCAGAAATGTGACTTGTCTTTTATTGAGATAGAAGAGCTTTTAAGTCTGACAGCTGTTTCTGCCTTCCTTTCTCCAAATGTGACCCAAGCCTTGTGAGCTGTATTAACAACTTCTAGAGAAGGATGAAGTCAGCAGCTTGCTCTTATATCTTGTTTTAGTTGCATTTTTCCATTTGAGGAGCTTACATTTTTCTATGTTGAAGAAAGCTGACAAAACTGGTGTGTAAATCTTTACCTGCAAATTTCCTAGTGAGGTAGTTGTTCCAGCAGATTAAGAATCTGTATTTTAAATTAACCATTGCATAATAAATACCTTAGTAAACTTGTTATGCTTCAAGCCATTAGTAACAACCTAAGTGCTGACGTTAATGGTCTCAACTTTCACCTACTCAAGGAACAACTAGTATCTCAATACCTCTAGTAATTTTTACTGATAGATACTGAAGAATCCTTTAGCATTCTTTAAGTAAAGCTTGACAATTGTAAAATTTCTTAACCCTTATCCTTTTCTCAAAAGTATTCCACTGCTATAAAGATGTGTGGATAACTGATCTGGCAAAGCCTTGCATTTTAGCAGTAGGAAGTCAAAATACTAAAAGGAATTACCCTCTTCTACCTGAAAAATGGTATCTGTAACGAATGAAAGTTACAGTCAGTGTGAAAAAAACCAAACCAAACCAAACCAATTTTCATTGCTCACAAGAAAATATCCTGAAAGGATTACAGTGTTCCTGGGAAAAATTCTGCTTACCAGATCCATTGCTGCTCACTTGAGTTGCTTTTTCATCATCTTCATCATCACTGTTTAATGGCTGAAAGGCAGTTTCTGACTCTGTGTCTATTTGATAAGCATCTGGCTCTTGCTCAGCAGAGCTTCGCAGTGCCACAAGGCGGTGATGAATTGCTGCATACAGGTATCCAGCGTCTTTTGAGCTTGCCTGCAGAACACAAAATGCACACAGACCAAACCAATAGAAAAAAAATCTCATTTTTTCACAGAGAAGCTGACTGAGAAATTTTCAAAAGTAATGGAAGAGCTGTATTTTGTCCTTTTAAATCAAAACAATCCATTTAAGATTCACGTTTACTTCAGAAAATAGAATTAAATACAAATAATGTTGAATTTCTTTAAGTGGTTGTGTTTCATAATATATAGCTGTTGATGATTTTCTCTATAGTTACAAGAAACAACCGTAAAAATTATTTCCCCTGAAGAGTAGCTCCATTTCTGGAATATGTTTCTAGAAGTAAGAAAGCACTTGCATTTTGTTTTACAGAATAAATAGGAATTTTAAATACTAACTACAAAGAAAAAATATTTGTGATTATAAAATTTAAAGATACCATGAATTCTGCTGCTATTGTTGAGCAGGAGATGAGCATCATCAAGTCAGGTATTGAGAACTCTAGACAAGGCCACACTTTGCCAGTACGTAAAACCTTTGAGCAATCATGTCCTGAGTACTGTGTTCTGTTCTGGTCATCATATCTCAAAGATATAGTACGATTAAAGAAAGTAAAGAGAAAGGCATGAAAAATAATCAAGCATGTGGTGCAGCTCCTCATGAAGAGTTGAGACTTCAGGATGAAGAAAAGGATGAGAAGGCTATCTAGCTAAGGTTTTCAAAAGTGGTACACAATATGCTATGGCTGTTCATCAGAGCACACAGTAAGTGCACTAGAGTATGTTAATGACAGCAGTAGAGGATCAGCATAAAAGAAAGTGCTTCTTCACAGAATGAGTAAGAACTAGCATTTGCTGTCTCAGCAAACTCTAAAAAACTAACCCCAAGAACCAAAAAACAACAAGCCAAAAATATAGTAATAAAAGTTTAAAAAAATAATTAGAAAAATTCAGGGACAATCATTTCATAAAATAGCAAAGGAAACAACAGAGCTGCATGCTCTCACATCCGTAACACATGCTTGCCTGTGCTTCCTAAAAGTACTGCATTTGGGCACTGTCAGAAGTACCAGTAGTGAACTTATGTTCATCATTACATTCAGCAGGTCATCTACCAGAGGGTAACTGAATGCATATGGTCTTCTGTAGCCCTGTTTTGTGCATCATGTGCAGTAATTTCTATCTGTACCACTTGGCAATAGGAAGAAATACATCTTGTTTTGGTTGGAATGGCATGTTGCAGGGTGTACAGGTGGAAAAGCTATCTGAATTGGGAAGCAGCAGTAGATTTGGGTTGCCTTCTGTGCTACCTAGACTGACAGCAACAATTC